CAGTGACAGCATTCACTGTCTGTTGTTTCAGACTGCCCTTTCTCTTTAACTTGCTCTATCTTAGAAATCATCTCGAATGGGTAAGTAGAGCAGAAACCACAGCTGTCGATATCGCATGGTTATGGTGTGGCAAGAACAGCCCTAAGCGCCTTTGGGAATCGTCTCTTGCAATCCCGCCCCCATACTGGGGATTGATCTCCGGACCTTGTGCTTGCAAGGCAGGCGCAGTGCTGCTCAGCTAAATCCCCGGCGCTGTCTCTTGCAATCTTGTGCTGACTCTGCACGGTGTGGACACACGGTTCTTATCACAGCTTGTCAAGGTCCCTGGCTATGAGTCCCCAACTGGGGCCCCATCTTGGAGGCAGTGGTTGTGGCCCTCTCCTCTTGGCTGAGCCTCTTGTCATGTGGATCTCCCAGAGCCACACGGCATCACGCAGCGGGTCCCTGTCTGTCCTCTGTTTCCTTGAAGCCCCTGACATGATGCTTGGCGCCTGGAAATGAGCTAAGCAAATTATTTGTCTTGTTTGCCCTGCTAAATAGCAGTCTCTGGTCAGACAGATGGGGAGTCTTTTTCAATTGCAACTCCTTTGCACCAGAACTGTGCTAGAAGCGGTGTGTACTAGCAGAAGAATTTTAGACAACGGTGGCATTCAAGCTGACCAAAGTCCTTGGGCTGATTTGGGGGCTGTGTCATGCAGCCTGTGAAGGAAGAGTCATAGCTGAGGAGGGGCAACTGAGGCTAGGGAGCTCAGCTTCTCCTGAATGGAATGTACAAATACCCCTTGTGCCTTCTAAGGAGAAAGGTTCCTTTTGGCTGTTGCTTGGCAGCTTTCAGTCTGTGAATAGGTGCCTGCTGTCAGGCCTGTGCACTGTCTGCTCCCTCGTGGCTGGGAAGCTGGAAGCAGGAAGAGGAAGGGCTGGGGTCCCAGGGTCCCCGCAGAGCGCACACCAGTGGCTTGGAGGCCTCCTGCCCCCACCCCAGCTCGCAGCGGTTCCCCTGCTTCCCAAGCGCCATGCTGGGTCGGGGCATCACTAACGTGGATGTCCGGGGTGCTTGAGCCATACGAAATAGCAACACTATTCTGAATTATCAATGTCTTTCTCTTTACGCATTAAGGTTTACCAAATATCTGTGACTCTTAATCAATATGTTGCTTAGTTTTGCTTGTTTTCATATAAATGGTTTCTCAACATTTAATTACTTGCTTTTGTCTAGACATCCCAGAAAATGATGCCTATGAAATGAAACGGTTCTAAAGCCTTCCCCCATTCCACTCCGTTCAGGGGGCCTGTGTCAGGGTAGAGCCAGGTGTCGGAGTGAAGCAGAGCGTGGGAGTGGAAAGTCTGTACTTGGGTAGTGGTCCCCGTGGCTGGTGGCAGACGTGGCAGGTGGCGCCCAGAGATTATCAGAAGTGAGACTTGGTCGTGCTTGGTGATGTCCTGTAAGGAGGGTGGATGTCAGTCGTCAGTGCCTAGCGCAGGCATTCGCATGCCATGCTTACCTCGTGGTCTGGCTTTGTGAGTCTTGCTGACAGTCTCACTGGTGGTGGTGTTTGTGTTTTTGTTTTTTGTTTTTTGGTACTGGGGATCGAACTCAGGTCCTTGCGCTTGTGCAGCAGGCAGCCGAAACCACTGAGCTAAATCCCCGGCCCTGGTGGTGGTGTTTGTGAGACTCAAGACAGCACACGCCTGGGTCTGAGTCAGTGCCCCACTACTCACTGGCCATTTGGCTTCGAACTTTGGCCTCTGTTAGACAATGGGAGCAGTGACAGTGCTTGCCCAGCAGGGTCACAGTTGTTGTTATTGCTGTTGTAGCGACCAGCTGGTTCAGAAGTGTAAGCTTGGTGGCATGAAGTGTCAGAGTCTGGTGGAAAGCGTGCGGCTTGCATTGGACTAAGTTGGTTTCGTTCCTGGATGCACTTCTGTTTCTTCATGGGACCTTGGGAAACGCACTTCAGTTCTTGGGGTATTAGTTTCTTCCCCTAGCAAAATGACATTCCCTGCACATGTTTATTGTGAAGATGGGAGTGGGTAAGTGTCAGCCGGAGACAGGTGTGGTTCATAGCCGGCTGATGGTGCTGTCATTGGCCAGGGCCATCGGTTTGCTAGATGACTCGATGGCTTACATGTGTCCTCAGTCATGGGAGGTTTCTCCAGGCTGCTGTTTGCTTTAAACAGGACGCAGAATTGTAATGTGATCAAAGGGATTAGACCAATGTGGAACCAAATTAAGGTAGCTGATGAGTGTTTAGAGTAGTTACTACAAATGCGATCTATGTCTCTGCAACTTTTTATTTTTGGTACAGTATTATCCCTTAATAAGATCAAAAATTTTTATCGACTTTTTTTTAAACGGTAGGGTGGTTCACAGCAAGATTGACTGGAGAGTTTAGAATTCTGTATACCTCCTGTCCCCAGGCATGCAGAGTCCCCATTGTCAGCATCCTCCGCCAGAGTGGCACGCTCAGGACAGTCACAGGAGGGCTCTGCTTGGGATGCAGCCACTGGAGTTGGACCACTGTACGACGACAACACGTACCCACCACTGTAGACCCACACAGAATGGCCTCGCTGCCCTACAGACTCACCCCTCCCTCCCTGCCAACCTCTGGCCACCACCCACCCTTTTACTGTCTCCTTGGTTTTGTCTGTTCCATGTCAAAAGAATTTCAGCAAGTTAATTAAAGATCTAATTAGCTTGTATTCACCATTCATGAATCAGAACACCTTTCCTTCTCTAAAGTAGTTAGAGAGCTCCCACTGGACCTTGGCAGAGAGGGTTTAGAGGTGGGAACAAGGAAGCGAATGGGAGGAAAAGAAACTGTTTGGTTAACATGAGGTCCTGCAGGCAGCGTTTCTTGTCGGGGTTAAGCAGGGAGGACTCCTTGTGCGCTGCCTCAGCTGGCGGCATCTCCTGTCTGCAGGAGAAATGGTCTGGCCTGGAGTACACGTGGCTCCCTGTTGGCTTCCCAGGTCTGCTGGGTGGCGGTTGGAAGCCTCCGGGGCTGTGGTTGAACTTCCGGAATGTCGTATGTTTGGAATCAGACGGTCTGAAGCTGCCTTACTTGGGTTCTTTCAAGCCAGAGAAAAACATTTGAATGTGCAGATTCTGTTTGTGCGTTCTACCAAGTGTATCCAGGAGATTGCCCGCTGGAGCTTGGTGTGCGGCGAGGAGCTGGAGGAGGACCCAATGCACTCTGCCAGCCATGGGGTCTGGTAGCCTGGGGCTGAAGGGGTCCCCCACTTCCCTCCTCGTGACTTTTGTAACCGTGCTGGATGAGGCCCAGGGTGTAACGTTAGAAATGGGGCCGGTCAGACACGTGGTCGGCCGAATCATTAGGCGCCTCTTCCATACTGTGTCTTAAGTCCTTTCTCGATGGAGAGGCCGAGTCCTGGGTGTGAGAAGAGGAGAGGCAAAGGAAGCTGACCAGGCCTGGCACAGGCCGTTTAACAGATCCAAACCTGGCCATTCACCAGATCTTAAAAATGAGTTTGGTGGTTGTCTGTTCATACCAAGTTTCATCAGTTACTCCCTCCCTGGCTGGTTATCAAAAGATTTCTCCCAGGCCTGGTGTTGATGCCTGCCCAGTGCCCTGGACCAGCCCAGCGCCCTGGACCAGCCCAGCGAGGCCGTCCAGCTCCCGCCTGGAGTGATGCTGTCTTCCTTCTCCACCTGGAGTGGCCGACCCTAAGGAAAGCCTTGGCCCTGTCCCTGTGGAGTGACAGGGCTGGAACCTGCCCTGCTTCTTCTCTGGAGCCGTAGTGACTGTCATAGATGAACTGAAAAGCTCACTTCCTGCTTCTGGTTCTACTCTTGCCTGGGTGGCTTCTCTGAAAGGGGAAGGTGGAGAATGGGTAGAAGAGGTGGGTAAGGCTGAGGGGCTGCACACACAGGTGGGTGGGCCAAGCTGTGGGGACTTCCGTCTAGGGCTTTGGGAATTCCTAACTCTGCCCTGCAGGTGGAGGGAAAGCAGCCTGTGTTGCTTAGGGGCTCAGGTGACTCCAGCCTGCTGGCCACTAGCAGCGGCAGTGAGTGGCCTTACATCTGCGGCTGCAGTTTGCTGACCTGACCTGAGTGCTGGGGATCCTGGGTCTGGAGGTCGAGAAGTGTGTGCTGCCTGGGCTCTTCTGTGGAGGTCCACTCTGTTCCCACCTAGTCAGGCTGTATGAAGATGGTGCGAGAAATGCAAGGGGAGCTGAGGAGCGGGTGTTTTGCACATGTTTGGGCGGTGAAAGAGCCTTGCTTCCCTGGGGCCAGCTGGAGCAAAGGGACTGGTTTAGCAAAGGCACGAATCTCAGTCTCCAGGCCTGTTCTTTGATAAAGAAACTATACAGTTGGGCGTGGCAGTGCATGCCTGTGATCCTAGCGCTCAGGAGCCTGAGCCAGGAGGCTCACCGCACAGTGAGTTCAAGGCCAGCCTGAACTACATAGCTAAACCCTGTCTCAAAACCAAAACAAACAAACAAACAAACAAAAACCCCACAAAAAATCCACAAAACTATATCATTTATATTTTTTTTTTTTTTTTTTTTTGGTACCAGGGATCGAACTCGGGTCCTTGTGCTTGTGAAGCAGGCGGCAAAATATATCTCATAACTTTCATTTCAGGTGTCTAATTTGAACTGCCCCCCCATATATATATATTTGGTATCGGGCATGGAACTCGGGACCTTGCGCTTTCGAAGCAGGCAGCAGAACCACTGAGCTAAATCCCCGGCCCGTGCCCCCCCATATTTTTTAGTGTTGGTGATCTGACTTCTTTGTACCCCTGGGCCAAGTGTTCATCAATTTTTAGGTGATCAGTAGCTGTCAGTAGTTTATTTTTGTATTTTTTTTTAAATTTTTGGTATCAGGGATTGAACTCGGGTCCTTGCGCTTGCGCAGCAGGGATCGAAACCACTGAGCTAAATCCCCGCCCCTGTCAGTAGTTTATTTTATGTTGACTTTATTGACTTTTGCATAGCTGGCTATCTGTTGTATTTCTTTCTTGTATGAACAGGACCCTTACTACAGATTTAATGACCTTGACTACAGATGGATCTCCTTGGACAACTGGACCTATAGCAACGAATTTAAAGTACCCTTTGATATCAGGTGTGTGTATGTTTGTATGTGTACTATATTCATTATTATTTGAGCTTTTTTTTCTTCCTTTGCTTTTGTTTGCTTATGTTGTATATCAGAGCATTAACTCAGATTAAATCTTTCACTGTAAGAGAAAATATATGATTTATGTTTTGTTTAAATACATGATTTATGTTATGTTTTATTTGGTCATCAGCCATGACGTTGTGTCTTGAGGAATTCATTTTCAACTCTGTTATGGAGCCACCTAGACTTGACCAATTCTCTGTGTAACCTCCTCCCTCCCCTAGTAACCAGTAGGGTCCGTATATGTGTAGTATGAATAAGCAGGATCAGAAGTATATCATTTGTTCTGTGTGATGCTGACTAACCATTGAGATCATGACCTTGTCCTTATAGTGTGTCCTGAGGTTATGAAAGAAGGTCACATTATTTTCATTAATGTTCTGTGTTATAATAAACAACTACTTCCATATGAAGCAGAATGCAATCTGAGAGTATATACCACCATTATTATTAAAATTAACAAATCCTCTTTTATATGAAATTTTTATAAAAATAGTAGTCTTGAAAAATAGAATATTGTGCTCAATATCTTGGAGTTACTTTGCTGCTCCAGGCTTTAGATGAGATTTGAAATATCTCTTAACATAAACCTGTTTTGCTTTAGGCTCCACATCTCCAAAATTCAACCGGTTGACTTTCTCTTTCACTACTCACTTTAGGTCCTAACAGCCTCATGTCTCACCTTCCCACTTCTAATGTAATGGTGGTTTGGGCTCTCGTATCTTTTCTTCACCTCTGTATTTTCAGCTGTTCATTGTCTTAGTTATTTTCTCGTTGCTGGGACAAAATATCTGACAGCCACATGTTAAAGGAGGAGAGGTTTATTTCAGCTCACAGTTTGTAGAACTTTCAGTCCATAGTCAGCTGGTTCCAAGCAGGGTGGCATGGCAGAGGGGCATAGCGGAGGATAAACAGTCCATGGCAGGGCAGGCAGGATTTTTTTCCTTTTTATTCCATCCAGGCTTCCTATTGGTTGGTGCCACCCTCACCCAGGGTGGGTCTTCCCTCTTCAGTAAGTCCATCACTCATACCCAGAGCTGTGGTAAACCAATCAGTGGGCTAATCCAGTATCATACCCCCATGATTCAGTCACTCCCAAAAGTCCCACCTTTGAGCACATGAGGCTTTGGGGGGACATCCAGATATCACCCATAACATCCTGAATCTTAATTCTCTCTAACATTTCTCTTGGTTGAGCCCTTTCCTTCTCATTTCCAAGTTTCTAGCCTGGCAAAGTGAGTGAGGGCCTGGCAAAGGCTGAAGCTGCCTGTATACTTCTAGCTTTGTCCCTTTATTCTCCAGTCTTCTCTATGAAAAGACATTAGACTTACCTGCCCAAAATTCTGATTTTGCCATGATGTGTTTTTGCTCAAGGAGCAGAAGTAACTTTCTTTTTCTTGACATACCAGGTTCCCATCTGGTTGTCCGAAAAGTCCTGCCAGGTGTTACTGTCCACCCTGGCCCCACCCACCTGTCCACCCCAGCCCCAACTCCTCAGCCCTAAGCAGGCATCTGAATCAAGTTTTTCACTTTAATCAATGCTGTGAGCACTTTCTCTGGGTGTTTCCCCCTTACCCAGGCATTTCTACTTTTCTTTAAAACAAATAAACAAACTTTATTGAGGTATAATTCACATAACAGACAGTTCATTCATTGAAAGTACAGTTCAGGGCCAGGGAATTAGCTCAGTGGTTCTGGTGCCTGTCTTGCAAGCACAAGGTCCCAAGTTCGATCCCTGGTACCAAAAAAAAAAAAAAAAAGAAAAGAAAGTACAGTTCAGAGGGCCTGGGATTTAGCTCAGTGGTTCCGCAGCCTGCCTGCCAAGCACAAGGTCCCAAGTTCGGTCCCTGGTACCAAAGAAAGTACAGTTCAGTTCAGTGGTTTTTGGTACATTCACAGAATCGTGCAACCATCACCGTAATCAGTTTTAGAACATTGTCCTCACCCTCAAAAGACAGCCCTCATCCTTCCCCCATCCCTATTGCTCCTCCAGGAAAACCCTAATATACTTTCTGGTCTGGAAGCCTCATGTACATGGAACCCTAACATATGTGGCTCTTGGTGACAGGCGCTGTCACTTAGCACAATAATGTCCCAAAGCTCATCAGAGTTGCTGCATGTATCAGCACTGAACTCATTTTTCTGTGGAATGATATTTCGTTGCATGGCTATACCACATCTTATTTAATCTCTTCTTTAAATTTTTGTCTTCTCCTTGAAGTCTTAATTGATGAGATAGACTCTGACAGCCCTCATAGCTATCCAGCACAAGCCACCATAGTAGATAGCAGGACAGACTGGAAGTTTTCTATTTCCTGTGTGTTGGGCTTGGTTGACAGCTGGATTGCAGACCCCTTAATTCAGATTCCCCACAGGGATGGATACTGGGCACATAATATTCATTCATAGATACTAGTTGGTGCTTAATGTGTTCTTTTAGCATCAGTATGTGGAATAGTTTGTGAAAACATGTGTTTGTTATTTAACTTGGTTCTCATAAGAACTTTGTGAATTAACTAGATAAAAATCACATTTGGAAATTATAGGTGTGCTCTTGATTTTATGGCAATGGATTGATATACCATAGAGAAAGATAAGCTGGATTACTCAAAAGAACATGTGTTAAATCAATACTCCTGAAAATTGTACTGGAAACTGCCATTTAAGAATGTATTTTTTTCTATGAAATATTTATTTCTTTAGTTCTTAACTAATTACAAAAAGACTTGTCTAAGTTAATGTTTTATGCGTCTAATTTTTTTAAAAAAAACTTTTTCTTTTTTTTTAGCAAATGGCAGAAAGTAAATTTGATTTTTGAGGGAGTTGATACAGTGGCAGAAATCCTCTTCAATAATGTCTCTATTGGGAAAACAGACAGCATGTTCCGTAGATATGTAAGTACATAATAACATCCGGCTAAAGCCCAGTTGTGTGTGTTTGTGCTGTGTTTGTGAACAGAGAAAGGTATGTGCATAACTGGCTGAGGCACAGGTGTGAGCTCTTTGAAGCACCAGCTAGGGAAGTGATTGTATTTCTTGGTGGCCACACTGAAGGATGATGGAAATCTTACCAGTCCCCAGTCCCAAGGAGGTTAGGGTGGGGCTTGAGTGAATTCCGAGAGTGGCCGGCAGGTGCTGGGCACACAGAGAATGTTTGACAGCACTGTTCTCTGTGGGCTGGGGATAGACTTTCATGGGCAATGACAATTGGCAAATGACTTTTCAAAGAATACATTTTCTTTCTGGAAAATTCCATTAGGAGGTTTTATCCTGATCTCCCTTCACTTTCAAGGTTAGCCTTTTCAAAACAGAAGTAGCTTGTGACCTGGGGACTCATGTTGTACGTTCCGGAAGTCGAGTTGGCACCAGGTGTTTCGGAACCCTTGGCAGCTCAGGGTCGCCTACAAAGAGCCGAGCAGAACTCCAGGGTTGGAGATTTTCTGCTGTTTCCTTGGGCCATCATCCTGTCAGTAAAAACAGGAGAAACCTAGAAACTTGGCTGGGCAGAAGAACAGGCTCAGTGAGAGCAGAAAGTGGGCAATTGTGTGTACTGTTTTTGGAGAGGTGCTCTGCTGAGGAAGCCAGCCCTAGATTTGAGTCCTTTTTCACATCTACCTGAGATTTTACCTGGTCTCCTTTTGCTCCAGAGCTTTGATGTCACCAATGTGGCCAGAGACGTGAACTCCCTGGAGCTTCGCTTCCAGTCGGCAGTGCTGTATGCGGCACAGCGGAGCAGAGCCCACAGCGGGTACCCGGTGCCCCCTGCCTGTCCCCCACCCGTGCAGAAGGGCGAATGCCACGTCAACTTTATCCGTAAGGTAGCACTCGCAGGGGTCAGGGATTTGAGTGTGAGGATGGGATGTGCTGGTGGAGGAAATGCTGCTTGAAGACTCACCTTGCCAGTTCAGCAGTGGAATCTTTTTCCAGACCCCATACTAGTACTTCAACATTTGAAAGAGGCCAGCCATGGTGGCACAGTCCTATAATCCCAGCACTGGGAGGCTGAGGCAGGAGGAATGGCACCAGCTTGAAATATGTAGTGAGACCCTGTCTCAAAAAAAAAATTGAAAGAAGAACCAAAAGATTATCTGACTTTTTGTAGAGAAGCTTCATGTTTTTAGATCTTCTTCCTGAAGCATGTTTCAGGACTTAGATGGCATCAGAAAAAGAAGAAAAATTTGTGAGTGGTCATGTGACTTTACAGATTAATTTTTAACATAATGGATTTATGACACTTGTCACCAGCTGTGAGAATGTGTTAGTTATTCTTGTGACCAGGCAGTCTCAGGTGACTGCTAGATTCTCATAACATCTTAACAGAAAGATAAAGAGAATCACATAGGTAGTTGTTTTCCTTGGAGTTGTTTTCCAGTCTAGAGGATGTGGATTTATCTTAGTGTATGATTGATTGTGTTAGTATTCCAGGTGGCACTAGGATTTTCTCCTGCTGTGCGGGTGGGGATTGAACTGAGAGCTTTGCCTCAGTTCAGAGCTAATTACCAGAGCTCAGTACTAGAGCTAAGCAAACGCCCTGGTACTAATCAGTACCCTGGTCCTTTTTACTCTTTTGGAAGCAGGGTCTCACTAAGCTGCCCAGGCTGACCTCTAACTTGGGATCCTCCTGCCTCAGACCCCTGAGTAGCTGGGATTACGGTATGCGCTGCCATGTAGGTCTTGATTATTTAGTTTTTAGGAAGAAATGTACCTCTCCTTCACCAATCCTTTGACCCTTCCACTCCTTCCACGTAGATATAAGTCCCCCATGTCTTTGCAACCTTCTCGGTCCTACCTAGATGGGGTCCTCAGTTTTTCAGCTCCCCCTTACTCGTGCTTGGGAGCATCCTCTTGCTTTTTCACTGGACTTTTTTTTGGGGGGTACTGAGGTTCAAACTCAGGACCTTGTGCTTGCGCGGTAGGCGGCAGAACCACTGAGGTAAATCCCCGGCCCTCCACTGGATTTTGAAAGCAACTTCACCTCCGTTATTATGTTCTAGTGCAGTGATGGTGAACCTTTTAGAGACGAGGCCCCAAACTGCAACCCCAAGCCCACTTAGTTATCACAAAGCGCCAACACTGTAATTAAATCTGAATACTGAGGTTTTAGTTTATAAAAAACAACTCATCTATTAACATCCTTTGTCTTAAAAGAAAAACAAATAACACGTGTGCCATAGGTTCAACACCACTGTTCTAGTGGCTGGAAGTGACTGTCTAGATCCATGCCCTCAAGGGAGGGGACTGCACAGGGGCATGAACACTCGAGGGGGATAATTGTGGGCCACCAGATGGCTGTCCACGGTGTGAACACACACATACTCTTATGGGCTGAATTATGTCCTCACAATTCCTACATTGAACTCCTAATCCGAGCTCCAGAATATGCCCATATTTGGCGATAATCTTTAAGGAGTAGATTGGGTCAGTTGAGGAGGTTAGGATGGGTCGGATCTCGGATGACCGGTGTTGCTTTGGACAACAGAGAGACCCCAGGGATGCTCGGGCACGGGACATAGCAAGAAGGGCGCTGCAGGCCAAGCAGGGATGTGGAAGAGGCCACACAGTGATCTTGGACACCTGGCCTCTGGAGCCCAGAGGAGGAGTTTGGTTTGGCGAAGCTGCCGGCTGTGGTGTTTTGTTACGGCAGCTTTAGCAAACTGATGTGTACGTGTGACACTTGGGAGGTGAGTGTCACACTGTGCGCACCAGCGAGGTCAGTGCCATCTTCTCCCGCTCACATGGCAGGAGCAGTGTTCCTTCAGCTGGGACTGGGGCCCGTCCTTCCCCACCCAGGGCATCTGGAGAGACGTCAGCATCGAAGCCTACAACGTTTGCTGTCTGAGCCACTTCACTTTCTCCCCTGTCTACGGTGAGCTGAGCCTGGTGCCTCTGGCTTTTCTTTCTGAGTCTCCACCTTGGTGAAAGAATGGGTTCATAATTTGAAAGAACAGATGTATTTTGCAGAGAAGCAATGGATATAGACTGTGGTCTGTCATGAAAATTCACAATGTAAAGCAGGTAAGTAGGTAGATAACTTTAGAGTATTAAAGAAAAGGGAGAGAGGGCGGGGTGGGGGGAAGATGGGGGAGCAGGAAGGTATTTCCAAACCTTCCTGGGCTAAGTGATCTGTTTCTTTCTTTCTTTTTTGGGGGGGGGGTATCAGGGATCGAACTCGGGACCTTGCGCTTGCAAGGCAGGCACCGGAACTGTTTATTTTTGTACTGGGGATCGAACTTAGGACCTTGTGTTTGTGAGCCAGGCGCGGTGCCACTGAGCTAAATCCCCAGCCAAAGTAATCTGTTTTGAAAGGATGGGGCATGTGGCTTGTGGGTGACAGTCCTTGGCCTGTGCCCATCCGGGCTCCGACTTTCTCTTCTTCCTGTTGTCTCCGTGACCAAGGTGTTTGTGAGGCACAAATGAACAGGAAGTCGAGAAGGCACCAAGTCTTGCAAAGTGAAGAATACTGCTTTTTCAGCAGTGTAGTAGCTACTTGCTGTCAAGGAGCATTTAAATGAAACCTCAGAAATCGCACAGACATCAGTCAGTGCCTTAGGGTCTGGACAGATATTTATTGAACTCTTTTTTTTTTTTTGCTCACCCTGGGCTACTTTGACACAGACCGGGTGCGGGTGGCCATAGACCAGAAGTGACGTGCATGCGGCCATTGCTCAGCCTGCCTCAGGGGGCTCGATAGATATAAAAGGGGCAGAAAAAAACTGCTAAGGTCCCTTGCTTGCATTGCTACCTTCTGCTCTCCGTGAACCGTTTCTCCTCTGCAATGCTGTCTGCTGTGTCTCTGCCCTAAAGCCAGCCAATTATGGACTGAAACCTCTACAAACTGTGAGCCAAGTGAACCTTTCCTACTTCAACTTTGGGTGTTGAGTGTTTTATCTCAGCAGTGAGAAAAATAACTGAGACACTCTGTGAGGCACTTTCTGCTTCCTCCCCGTGGAGTTTCCAAAGAGCTCATCTTTTTTGCTTTCTCAAATGTTCAGTTCTTAATTTAAAATTAGTGCATTTCCTCCTGAAGATCAAATGACGAATCATATGTCCTCAACTTAGTTGTGCATAGTGTGGCAGAAAGAGAACTGCTCAGCTTTAATGTTTAACTTGAGATTTTTCTGAATTATTTTACTTCATATTTAATTATTTATATTTGTGTGTACACACATTTATCTACCTTGTGTTTTCAGTCCTTATAATAGTGGTTTTTAAATGATTGTATTTTTCAAATTCTGTGGTCGTTTGTTTGATTTGCCCCAACATCAGCTTCCTAAATGATTTTCACATAATTCCTTTTCTTTTTTCCTCCCTTCCTTCCTTCCTTCTTTCTTTCCTTCCCCCTTCCTTCCTTTCCCTCTCTGTTTCTCTCTTTCTTCTCTCCTCTCTCTTTTTGCAGTCCTGAGGATCAAACTCAGATTCACACGTGCTAGGCAAATACTGCACCACTGAGCTGTACTCCAGCTTCAACTTTAATATATTCTTAATGCTTAAGGTGACAAATAATAAAAACATTGTGTTTGAAAATAATACTGAGATCAAAGGAAAAAAGTAGCTGCCACTGAAGCTCCTGAGACCCATGGGGTGGTCAGAGGTATCAGAGCCTTAGTGTGGATGGTTTTCTTCAGAGCTCGGACCCCATGGCTTGCTGGAGGAGTCACCTTAGCCTCGAGATGTTCTAATCAGGCTGCTGATGGCAGTGGTAGCTGTGGGATTCCTGTGTCCAGTTGTTAGGAAAGGGGAGCTCAGGGGCTCTTTCCTGGGCTGGACCTGGCAGTGTCTGCTGGTGCTTTTTGAGTCCCTCTGTGGAGGGGGTGGGGGACCTGGGCTGGACTTGGGGTCTGAGGTGTGGGGAGGGGAAGTGGGGTTGGGGCCACAGCCCCAAAGATGAGGATATTGATAAGCAAATAATCCATGCAAAATGCAGGCCCTGGGTGTTGGGGGAGAGACAGAGAGAGAAAGAGAGAGAGAGAGAGAGAGAGAGAGAGAGATCCGTTCCTTCATCAATTGTCTTGTGAGTTGTTCACAGTGGGCATCCGTTGCTTAGGGAGGGACGATCGCCTAGTTTTATGAACATTTCAGGAGGTTGTGGAGACAGTTAAAACGCACGGTAAGTGCGTTCTGTGGAAACACTGTGCTTTTGGCCTTCTCTTACCACACTTAGGAGAAGATAACACAGCTGCAGCCCAGGGTGAGGGGAGCGGGCAAGGAGGACATCTGGCTAAAGCCACCTGGGCCTTGCTGCCATGAAGCTGTGCCTTGCGCTCCGTGTGGTGCAGCCTCCGATTTTTTACTTCCAGAAAGAAAAAAGTTTGACACTTTCTACCCTGGAAGGTCATTTAGGAGTCTGGACATGGCTAACGAGGAGCAACAAGAACCCATAGGCCACACACCGGAAATAAGATGCTAGCTCGTTCTTTAACCCATTTCTTGCTCTTGCAAATGTTCCTCATTTGCAACATCATCTACAGTTGTGGTGATGGTATTGTTCTTGTCTGGCTGTGCCTCGTATTTCAAACTGCACGGTCGTGTCATCAAGACACACAGTTTGGGTTAGAAAAGCAGGCCCAGTGGTACCGTCTGGAAATTCAGGAAACTGGCCTTTCACAAAACAAGCACTCAGCTTGATTCACCAACAGTGACCCTGCCAGAAGTTAGTTAGCAATTAAAAGCAAGAGCCTTGTAATATCAGGGAAATTACTGGTTAACTGAGACTTTGTGAACTTAACTCTTTACTTTCCCATGTGCAAGTCTATATGAAATAGGTAATTTGATTATTGTTTAGAATGAAACGCTTAACCTTTCTGAATTAAAAGGAGATTTCCATGGACTTTGTATTGTGGAGTGCTCACTGGTTTAAAAGGGGCTTTGGCCTTATCTCCACTGAATCCTGAGGACTGCAGGGATAATTTTTCTTTTTCTCTTTGTGCTTAGATAGCACTGCCCAGGTGTGGAGTGTTGAAATAGAATCTGCTTTTGACGTTGTCAGCTCAAAGCCAGTTGGCGGTCAGGTGGTCGTGGTCATCCCTAAACTGCACACACAGCAGATGTACAGCCTTGAACTCCAGCCTGGGGAGAGGATTGTTGAGCTCTCTGTGAAAATTAACAAGGTGAGCGCCGGGATTTCCTGAGACACAGGAGGAAAGTAACAGCTGTTCAGCAGAAATGTGTAGAAAGAAGGGACTGGGTATGAAAGAAAAGCTACTTTCTCCATTTCATTTTCTCCTCTGTTTTTACCCTCTCAGATAGCTTTGTGGGACTGTGAGCCAGGAATGACTTTCCCAATTTCTTAGTGAGGGTTGATACAGTTTCACTGTGTAGTTCAGGCTGGCCTTGAACTTACTATGTAGCTGAGGCTGGCCTTGAACTCACGGTGATCCTCCTGCCCCAGCCTCCCAAGTGGTGGGATTACAGGTCTGTATCACCACACCCCATATGATTTCCCCAAATGTTAAAAGTCAGAAAATGGAGGAAATGTGATTAATTTGGAAACCTTTCCTCTTGAGAGATTGGTAATCTGTTTTTTCTGTTGTAGTTGCAGTATCCTAAATCCAGTGTACATTCTATGGATTATATTTAAGTGCAGTGATTATTTTTGCTATTCTTCAATTATTTTGAGTATTGGTGCCATTGCATGAATTTCCTGGAGAGATGTAAAAGAAATGTCTGCCTCCAGATGGGGAGGGGGTGACAGTCCAGAGAATGACTTGGACAGGTCCTGCTCAGTGAGCAGTTGCCTGTTGGGGTGACTCACGGAGCAGTGACCTCTGAAGTTGCTAACTTCTCCTTGCTGAGCTGTGGGTTTTCTAGGGCACTGATTAAAACAGCAAAAGCAGGATAAGAAGCAGGAGGGGTCCTGTCTTTATCAGGAACTCCACCCATCCCAGGAGCACTGCGTGGTGGCTGTGGACTTGTGCTGCAGTCTGGAACTCAGCCTCAGCCCCAGCAGGGCCACTAAAGACAGGGTGACGTTGGTGCTCCGGGACAGGTCTCATGGGAGGTGCATCCTCTACGTGTGGGTCATGATTCCAAACTCATGAGCTTTTATGGGTGGAGGGGAGTGGGTTTTACTCCCTTTTTTCCCTAACCCTAGTCCTGGCCCTAACCCCTAAGCCTTAACATTTAACCCTAACCCTAACCCTATCCCCTAACCCCTGACTTCCTCTTCTATTTCTTTGGTTGATAATTGTGAACTGAGAAAGCTGGTCGTGGTGGTGGTGCGGGGGGAGAAATAGCATTCAGTCCTGCCCTGATAGAGTAAGAACTCCTTATCATTTCTAGTTTGGCTGGAAAGAAGAGTCAGCCTTAAAGTCCTATTTTAAGTGTTAAGGATTTAGAATAAGCAAGCTTGGGAATTGGAGGAAGAGTTGCTTTTCTGCAAATCCCTCTTATTCTGTTCAGTGCATTCCTCTTTGGTGTAAGAGTCTGGGCCAAGCTCTGGGCATGTTGATTTCAGGATAATATCAGGGGATTGGTGTGATTTTGGCTAGTACAGGTAGGGAGATTTGTGCTGTTTTAAAATGTGGAGCTTTCTGTTCTTGATAATATGAGAAACTGATACAATGCTCTGAGTCATACTGCATTTCTGAAAATATACTGCATTATTTTGAGTGGCTAATCTCATTTTTTCAAAGAATATTACTGTGGAAACTTGGTGGCCTCATGGACATGGAGACCAGACTGGGTACAACATGACAGTTCTTTTTGAACTGGATGGAGGCTTACGTATTGAAAAATCTGCTAAGGTAAGTAATACTTTGAATATTTTGTGAAAAAAATTATATTTCTTGTTAAAATGGCAGTACAGATCTTTGAAGGAAAAGAAGCCATAAAACGTATGACTCTACTAGTCAGAGTAGCAGCATTTAAAAGCTTTGTGTGTGAGTGTGTGAGTGTGTGTGTGTGTTTTATGGCTTGCCTTTATATGTCCTCCCAGAGCCCCATATGGTCATAAGTGAGATTTTTTCAGAGGCAGCTGGATCTAGAATGTGTGATGCTGGGATTGATTCATGGTGCGATGCTAGGCTCAAGGGCACTAGGATTAAGGGTTTGAGTGCTGCTCGCCCTAAGTAGCTGGGATAAGAGAAAAGGGGCAGAAAGGCACTGTTAAGGTCCTTTGGTTGCTTGCTTTTGCTGTCTTCTGCTGCCATGAACTATTTCTCCTCTGTGATGCCCCTCTGCCATGCCACCCTGCCTTTGAGCCAGCTGACTATGGACTGAAACCTCTACAAACTGAGCTCAATAAACCTTTCCCCCTTTAACTTTGGGTGTTGGGTATTTTGTTTCAGGAACAAGAAAAGTGACTAAGACAATGTGTGTGTGTACTGTATTTTTAACTGAGTCAGACTTTACATATCATTTTGTCAATAGATATTCTCCTTCAGTACTTTTTCTTTTCTGTTCTTTTCATGGTGCTGGGAGCTGAACTCAGGGGCTCCTTGCTAAGCAAGCACCCTACCACTGAGCCACACCCCCACCTTTTGTGCTTTTAATTGTACTTGCTTATATCCAAGTAATACATATGTGTAATTTTAAAGCTCACACATTACTAGAAGGCTCATATGAAAAAACAGGTTCCTTTGCTCACCTCTTCCTATTCCTATTTCCTAATTCCCAGAACCAAAAATGTTAACTTCTACTTATTTCTTTTGCCATTCGTCTTCTTTTCCCCAAATACCTGCATCTACTATACTAAGCCAGGAAGTATTTCCATCCTGAGACAGTGGGCTTTTCGAAGGGATGAATGACATTGGTGTTTAACAAAGGTTGTGTAGTTTGGATTGGAAGAATGGTGCTATGGTTTCAATATATAATGTCCGCCAAAAGTCTCCTGTGTTCAGAGGTGGGGCTTTTGGGAGGTGATTGGAGCATGGGATTGCTGTACTTATCAGTGGGTCCATCCATTTATGTGTTCATGGCTGACCTCTGTGAGAGGTGGGGCCTGGTTGAAGGAGATGGGTCACTGGGGTGTGACTTGGAAGGGTGCATTGTTGTCATCAACTCCTCCCTTCTCTCTCTCTGCTTCCTGGCTGCCATGGGTTGAGCAACTTTCCTACACTTTCCACCAGGCTGTTTCTGTCTTGGATCCAGCCAACCATGAACTGAACCCTCTGAAATAATGAGACACAATAAATCAGACTCATGAGGTTTCAGCTGAGAAAGAGGGCGCTCTTGGGAATTGGACTAGAGGCAATGAATTTTACATTCTGGCAAAGAACTTGTCACATTTTGCTCCTGTCTTGAGACTGCTGAAGGCTGAGTTTAAGGGCTATGAACTCATTGATCTGGTGGAGGAAATTTCAAGGCAACCTAGTGTTCAGGGGATGGCACGAGTACTTCTGACTGCTTTTAGTCAGTTTTATAGTGAGAATCAGGTACAAAAAGCAGAGCAGAAAATTTTGAAAATCTTGTTTTGGCCAGAAAAGAAAGAGACGGAAAGTTGGGACAAGAGAGCTGAAGTTGCAGAAGAGGTTGGTAGCATTAAAAAGAAACTAAGTCCTTTGCACAGGGACAAGAAGATGGCTCAAGGACGTCCCAGAAATCAGCAAGACCTCACCCATTGCAAGCTCAGTGGTGCAAAAGCGTAAAAGCTTCCCTGTGTGGGGAGAGCTCCTGGGACTTCTGCTTGAGAAGGGCCTCCTAGGGAATTGTTTCTTTGGGATTCATCTCACAGTGCTCAGCCATCTGGGGATTCAGTGGCTGCTACAGTCATGGTCCAAGGGGGCCAGGCTACTGCTCGTGTTGGTGACAGAGTTTGATGTCATCCACATGATGCTGTTTTTTTCTTTTTCTTTTTGGTACCATGGATTGAATTCAGGACCTTGCGCTTGTGAGGCAGGCCCAGTGCCACTGAACTAGATCCCCGGCCCTAACATGATGCTGGTTTTACTGGCATGCAGAGTGAAGAGTAGTAGGGTCATAGAGGCTCCCACCCAGATTTTAAAGAAGGCCCAGGAGGCCAGAAGAGGAGAGATTCTGCCCTAGGCAAGGTTGTTGATACTAGAGTGAGTCACTGAGGAACATTCTGAAATGTTCTTGCAGTGGGAACTTTGAAATAATGTTTTTGCTTATTTGTTCATTTGACTAGGGGTGATTAGATTGAATGATCTTTTAGTCCTTCCCATACATCTAAAATTGCCCAATACTGGAAACTTGAATAATGTAAGAATTTGGGCTCATTGTAAGTTTCAGAATCATTGCGTGCTTTCAAAATTAAAATAAAAAGTATAGGTCCATGCCAGATTTGGTGAGAGAGAGATGATATCAAATTCATCCTTTTTTCCATCCAGCGTGGTTCTTCCAGGGAGTTTTAATTGCTCGTCAATCCTAAACTGCCAAGTCTTTTTTGATGATTTCAGATTTGCCCGAGTTTCAGCCAGCAGTCATCCACATCCCTGCCATCTATATCTGCTTCCTGGCTGGAGTCCCTTAGTCTTACTTCTTTCTAGCTCTTCTCTAGGGCTAATGTGCCAGACTGGGATTTCTTTTTATGCTTTATTGATTGTGAAATGTAAGACACATACAGAAGATAAACAGAATATAAGTGAGAAGCTTAATGGATTATCAGAAAATGAACTTGTATAACTGTCCTCCCAATCAAGAAGTAGACACTGGCTCCTTGGAAGTTCCCCCAGTGGGCCGCCCTGTCACCGCCCACCTCCTCCCCTACATCCAGTATCCTTATGTCGCACACTGGTTTATTGTCACCTGTGTTCAAGTTTTCTGTGCACGGGACCATCATGTCCATGGCATTTTGGTATGTTGTGAGTAGTGGTGGTTTGCATGTTTCCACTGTAGTATAATATTCCATTGTCTGATTAGTCCACTCATGACACTTGGACCATTTCCAGCTTGGCTCTTCCATGTAATGCTGCTGTGACCATGACTGATAGACCCCTGGGAGCATGCCTGCTCTCACCAGCGTTCAGCTGTGTAAACAATGCTCAGCTGCTTTCCTAGGTATCAGCTGAGACTCACCCTTACTCACCTGTTCACCGACACTGGGCAGTGTGTCAGATGGGACTGTACACACTGTCTCCTCATCACTAGCACCTCCTTATCTCACCCATGTTATTCTTGTTTCTGGATGGCTTTATTGTAACCTGGCCTTCGTTCATGCAGGAATATTTCTTTTGTGTGTGCAGGAGATCAAAGCCAGGTCCTCACACAAACTAGGCAATTGTTCTACCACTGCGGTACATCTCCAACCCCAAAATACTCCTGTTTTTGAAATATGTCATTGAAATATATCTTGCTTGCTTCTCTTCCACATGTATTTTATTTTTTTCTTTACCATGTCACAAGACAGCAGCTCATTTAACGAAGACAAAGGCCTTGGGGATTGGGTGCAGCTCCTGCGGCAGAAATGTATGGATCCTAAAAAAGGCAGCTCTGTAGAGACGAGAAGGGACTGACTGCATTTCCTCGTGAACATGGAGGAATACTTCGATGGCTGAAATACTTTTTAGTATTGAAAGGAGAGTGCCATGGTTTGAATGTTTGTTCCCCAGAATTCCCAACTTGGAAAGTTAATCCCCAGGGTTCTGTGTTGGAGCTGTTTGGAGGGGGCCCACAGGGAGTGATGAGGTTGTAGGGTGGCCCATGACGGCGTTAGTGGTGTTGTAAGAAGGAGAGGGGAGCTGGGATTGCGGCTCAGTGGTTTGCCTAGCATGTGTGAGGCCCTGGGTTTGATCCCCAGCTCTGAAAAAAAGAAAGAAGAGAAGGGGGAGAAGAAGGAGGAAAGAAGAGTCTCAAGCTTGCTCTCTCACTTGCTCTGTCCCCCTCTGTGGCATCACAGAGCATCATAGTCACTCTCCTGTCACTGGGACACAATCTGCAGCTTAACAGAGGAGAGGTTATTTGGGCTCTCAGTTTCAGTGGGTTTAGTTCATGTTTGGCTGGCTTCAGGGTAGCAACAGCCAGGTGGAGATGCGTCCTGGCAGTCAGGAAGCAGAAGAAGGGAGGAGCAGGACAAGAATGCACCCTCTAAGCCCCATCCGCCCAGCCCTGCCCCTTCACAACACAGTCGGCCATGAACTCATGGGTGGATGGGTCTGCGGGTGAGCACAGCACCCTGTGATCCAGGCACCTTCCCAGAGCTCCACCTCTGGACACACGTTCTAGACCTACACATAACACAAGGACGTCGCTGCCGAGTGGTAACATGGCAGTGAGGTCCACACAGGTGCTCTGTGAGTGACTGGACACAAGTGTGTGCTCTGAGCCTCCCCAGCCTCCAGAAACCTGAGCTAAATAAACCTCTGTTCTTTTTTGCGGTACCAGGGATCGAACTCAGGACCTTGCGCTTGGAGGCAGGCACAGCACCACTGAGCTACATCCCTGGCCCCAATAAACCTCTGTTCTTGATAAATTACCCAGCTTCAGGGATTTTGTTTAGCAACAGGAAAAGGACTAACAAAAGTGACTTTGGAGCAATGGTTTAAGCATGAAAGGAGGTCATGGGAAAATCAGCAGGTGCTTTAAAAATTAAAGTCATGATGTCAGACATCCTGCCAACAAATCATTGCAGGAGAGAACCTTCGACTGTGAGTCTGGGAAAGTCCACTTCATTAGTTTGGGAAGCCAGTTAGATTTTTTAATAAAAGAGAAAGCTTTGTGTGTAAATGGGAGGAGAGAGACCAGTCTACGATGATGGAAGAAGAGTTCTGGATGGTCACTGCTTTTGCCGTTTCTGCCCAGTTAACCCAGGTTTGAGTTTTATCCTGCTAATTGATTATGCTTAACC